TCCGGAGTTGCTTCTCCCATGAGAGCAAATCGATACCCTGCCGTCCTCGATGGCTTACCGGTTGCCCCCTCGCATCATCGCGTGCTAAATGCCACCCATTAGAAAAAGCAAGAAAGGCATGATAACCTGTTCGTTTATGACAGACAGTGCTCTTCGGAAACTCACTTTGCAAACTGTGATACGATATTCTGACGACTATTGCACAAATACACCTGCATTGTTTGTGAACTGAAGCAGTTTCAAAGCATATCCCACCCTGTGCAGTGGACTGCTTTTGACTGCATGTGTTTCTTTCTGACAAAGTATGAAAAACAGAATAGCTATGAGCAAGAGCGCAGTCAGCAAGAGTAAAAGGATTACGAAATCGTCCAGCGACACTTCACGCAACAAAGGCGCAGCAGTTGACCTAGAGGCTGTTGTTGTAGGCACTAATGTTTCACACAGATCCCAATGTCCGCAAGCCACACACTTTCAACTGGACGCCTTTTTTAATGTGGTACACTCCACATTTCGGATATGGAGAAGGCAACCGTCGCCGCGCTCTCCATTTGAGCGCGGCGACGGTTGCGTTTAGGTGAGATAGTGCCTTTTTTGGGTAACTCGAATGACGCCTTAGCTTAGCCCAAGACAAGATGATAGTTGTATCAGATGCAGATATTCCAAAAAAGGGCATGTTTCAAAGCCCTTGTTTCGAAGATACGTTCCGCGCTTAAAACTCGCGCAAGTATTCAGATTAGAAAATCAACCCGCTGCTGTTAGGGTGTCTGGGAAATTTTGAGATAATTCCTTTCTTTCAATTTGGAGGACTGTAGCGAGCGAATGCGCCAAAAAACTTTCACTGTTTACTGCGGAACGCTGGGGCGTTTCAGGGAGATTGGGTTTGGCGCTCAAGCTTACTGTCCAGCAATTACGGTTCCCTGCCACCTTTCACCATTGGTGAGAAACAGGCTGGAGCCGCAGTAAACCCAGCCCTCCAGAACACCTGAGCGCCCGCTGAGAACAAAGCTATATTAATGTTCTTCATAGGAAGCGAATGAAGCAGACCCCATTGCTAAGTTGAGAGCCCAAACGAAGCGACAAAGGTGGAGATCATAAACGGGGAGGAGACTATGAGGCGTTACAGACCCCAGGCACTCCTATCGAACACTTTCGAGTAAAGAAACACTGCGGCTCTGGACTGCACCACTTGGTCCAAAGAAAGATTTCTGCATGCCAGCTAGTAGCTGACTCTGATTCCAACTATCTCTTTCTGTACAGAAGGGGCTTCCGGGAGGGTTGCTCACTGCTAGGCAGACCCGCATGAGATAGGTCGACAGGTGGTTTAAAGACAATCTATAGTATCGGTTACGAGATTCTCAGAACAATGTTCCGAGTTCCTTGGAAGTTATTCTTCAAGAGTAAGGTGTTCCTCATTTTGCTATCTTTTTTAGTTGAGGACCAATGTGCTACATTAGACCCTTGTCCCAGCGTCGGTGGAAGTCACTACACATGCACACCTGGCGTTGGCTCGTACAAGTGTGAGTGCGCCAGCGGATACACAGGAGAAAATTGCGATGAAAGTGAGATTTCCTGGTTTTCTCCTTTTTTTCATAGTGTTTACTTGTGTTGTTCTCCTTGTCACAGATATTCCGATGTGTACAGTCACGATCCCTACAAACGGTAGGGTGTGACAACGCGTGTCTGGAGCGCTGCCAAGGCGGCTTTCTCACCAGTGACCCATCCAGAGTCCACATCAGTTGGCGGGTAAGTTCTCTTGGCTGCGCTCCAATTCACACCCGTTCAAGCGCCTACACGCTCTTTCGTTCGCGGCAACCATGACCGCATCTGATTCTGAAGGGGATCGTCACCGTCAGCGACGCTGCGTTGCATATGCAAAATCCAGTGACTGTAGATCTCTTCTGCTGGATTTCTGTGGCATTCACGGAACTGGCGCATTTAATTTTACGCGCGCTTTTCGGATACTGTACACCCCAAGCAATCCTAAATCTATAATGTATATGAGAAGGCATCAAAAGTAGTTGCGCAATAGAAGTGACGCAAAATTTGCTAAGCCATTCATCGCTAAGGAATTTTCATCTATTTCCTGACGAATTAATAATGGATTTATACGTACATCTTCCACTACTTCAGGCGCAGACTCACCCTGTATAGTGAACAAATGTCAGCATGGAGGAAACTGTACCACACCCGATAATATTAACTTTCACTGCACGTGTCCGACAGGCTACATGGGCCCGAAATGTCAATGTGAGTTTTAAAGATTTCTCGGACACCATTCACTGAGGAGTAATAATTGGCTCATGTAAATTATATGACTAAGTTCGAAGTTTGTAAAAATAAGTATGGTACAGGACGTTCAATATCGAAGGTACACTCGATATCCCCATATAGGGCGTGGCTACGTACTCTATTTGGAAATTGCGGGGTATGCATTTCTCATGGAATATTTTTATCTGAGTCATTCTGTCTTGCGCTTGACAGAAGCATGATTGCAAATGTCCCGAAGTGAAATTATTCCAGCAGAAGCGCAGAAACTGCAACATTCCAGTGCAGTTGCAGCCACGCCCCTCCCATCTCCGGGATATGGTTTTCGATCTTATTCCACTCCGTCCGGCAGGATTCGTGGGGCCGAAATGTCAGTGTTGGTTTATTGTGTTGTAAGAAGTGTGTATTCATATGAATGACTTTAAAATTAATGAAAATAACCATTTGATAATTTGGGTTGATGAGCTGTAGGGTAGTAGAGACGGATGAGGCTGCTGTAAGATGATCGACTACACAAATGAACCTGATGGAATGTGTGATTAAACAAAAAAATGATAGTATCTCTAGATCGATAAAGATCGATAATGGCAATGCCATCCGAAGACAGTTTACATTACCCTGCCAATACCATCTCAAGAAGAAGTAGTGACATCGAGAAATTTTTTCCGCTTGTTGATTTTTCCTGTTTCACGAATGTGATGTGCCCATGGTACCAATTACCAGAGGTGAGAAGTAGGCATAGATTACCGCCACCAGCACTGTAAAGAAAATAAATGAAATCTAGACAGTGAATACTCAATTTTGAGTGTAAGAAATATTCCAGACGTGGATCCCTGCCCACCGGGCACTTGTCAGAATGGCGGTACCTGCGAGGCGATATATGATGGAGCGGACTTTTTATGCACCTGTACGACATATTTCGAGGGAAAGAACTGTGAATCGTCGAGACTAATTTGGAGTACGTTTCATAAGGTTTTTGATTTTCCAGTACCGAATTAATGCCTGGACAGCACGTCCTGTAACATGATCGCAATCACGTCTAGTGTTGACTATTGGTCAAGAACCAAATGCCACAAAGGATGACGTGGTTGTCGTGAACAAGTCCTTCTGAGATGCTCCAGGCAATCGGCTCCTATTCAGACGTGGGACATTCAAAGGCAAATCATTCTGTGTAGTGCTTGATCTCTGTAGTACAGTCTTGCTGGCTATGTGGAGCGTTTCAGTGGGGCTGGGTTCGGCAGGCGGCATCAGCCCATTTACCCCCAATTTCCGAAGCTCGGTCCCAACTATTTTCCATGTTGGCACATTCATCCTCCGAGACAACTTCGTTTTAGGCCATTCACTCTTTCAGACCTTGAAAGCCTGGCATTGACAACTCAGGATCCTTAGAAGCGCTGCACGGATTCCCAGACGGGTTTGCATTCCTCCAACCCTCCCTATGCGGCATGAAGTAATTGAGAGGGAAAAAGCAGACCTGAATACAGTCATAATCCCTGCAAACGATAGGGTGTTGGACGGAGGCGTGGCTTGGAGCGCAGCCAAGGTAGATTTCCTTGTAGTATCCATACAACGGCATCTTTGCTGGAAGAATGGTGTCTTGGCTGCGATCCTGCGTGTCGCGTCACTCTATCATTTGCTGGGACACGACTGTACATAGCTGTCAAGGATCTGATGCACAAGTTATGAATTAGGATCCTTCCACATTAGCCGCAGTCAGACTGACATATAGTCCTAACCGTGGTACGCGGAATGAGCGCATCAGGAGGCTTGGAGTGGATCGACGATGCCACTTGAGCCGAGAACAATTCGTGGAAAAGACTGCCCTGGCTGCGCTTTAATTCGCGCCCGTTTCTCTCGAACTGTGATCAAGTTGAATACTGTAGGAGGAAGAGGCGATAAAAACTGATCATGGATGGTGCTAAAAAATTCTTCTGCCCCGAGTGACTTGGTGAGCGGCTACCCTGGTCATGTAAATCGGACACTTCTCAATCCATATAGTGTAGTTCGCTGCGGACGGTTGGGCGTGTCAGGCGGGATGAGTTTGGCGCGGTGCCAAACCCGTTCTCCACCAGTTGTTAAAGCGAGCAAATGATATGACTGTATCATATCGTTCGTATTACTCGTTTTCTACCACTTTTTGTCGCATGCGCGCTTCAACAAGAAAGGCAGAGAACGGCTTTGACGGGTGACACACTCATACTGCCTGACACGCCCAACCGTCCGCAGCGAACTAGAGTGTATCTCTTCAAAGTCCGCCCAACGGTCGTGCCTGGGTTTCAAAGTCCTTGGCGTAGAACGTCACCTGTAGGGTCGAGGCATGAAAAACCAGTTGTGGACCATAGTGACCTTTTCTGAAAAGCTGGACGAGTGACCTGTTCCGCCATCACAGGACACGTTCTGAGAACCTGCACGAAAGTGGCCAACAGTGTAAAATGAAGAGCTACTTCAAACTGACGTAAGTACTGCAAGCGTTCTCGAGCTCAACTAGGATCAGGGATGGCGCCGTCTCGTTGTGACTATAGACGCTGAGAAGGAGTGCTTCTTAATGATCATGGAGCAAGGCTTCAAA